CCCCCCCCCAGCAGGGCTCACCCAAGCTCTCCTCTTTGCCTCCTGGTGCTGGGACTGACCCTTTCCCCACATCTGATTCTGGGGCTGAGTCCCCCCCTCCCAAACTCTGCACTGCCCGTGGTGGGGCCTACCCCTCCCGTCCCAGGGGCTGACCCCTCCCCTGAACTTGGGGGCTGACCTCAACCCCTGAATCCTATGCCACCTGCAGTTGGGAGCCAACCCCCCCCCCTCCCGAACTCTGCACTGCCCCTGGACTCTAATCCTCTCTGGCTCTGTGCCGCCCGCAGCTGGGGCTGAGCTAAAAAAGGACTCTTTTGAATAGGACACAAATATATTTATTATATAGAAGAAAATAAGTTCAGCTTTCACAATAAAATTTGCAGTGAGGTGAACTGAAGGTTTTTTGTAAATGTACAGTGTAAATATTTGTAATAAAAAAATAATAATATAAAGTGAGCACTATACACTATTCTGTGTTGTAACTGAAATCAATGTATTAGAAGATGCTAAAAACATCCAAAATATTTAAAGATAGTATTCTTATTATTGTTTTACAGTGTGATTAATCGCGCGATTAATTTTTTTAATCGCTTGACAACCCTAATATTAACCACAAGACCTCTATTTTAAAGTAGATATAACAGCTAACAGAGTTAATGAGGTTTGCACAGTTTTGGAGCAAATTACATATCATATTAGGGATAACATTATATTTAATTTTTTCCTCCTCCAAACAAAAGCAACTGAAGACAGTAATAAGGATAAAAACAGCATCACTTTCTACAACATGCTGCTTGCTCCTGTGTTCCATACTACAAGGTAAATCATGATCAAGTAAAGAGTTCTGAGCAAGCTGTGACTTGGCTTGAGCTATAATTCACAGTTTTGTCAATTTATTTTAATACATTGAATTCCATTACAGCACAGTTCTGGTGACAAGTGAACCATCAGTGCGAAAATCTGCTAATTATAAAGAAGTTAGACTTTGAGCACTGTAAATAACCACCACCAAAACACTTCTATCTATACATACACACCTTTGCATCCAAAATGTTAAGTGTTGTTTCAATTTGTTGGATACGAAGAGATAGAGCTGACAACTTCTAGGAGAGAAAAAATTAAAACATGACAGCACTGATCAATGTCCTTTTAAAATCCAAAACTGGCAATGGTAAATCAAGGCATGTGTAGGCAGACAAGAAACATAATTATGCAGCTTCAAAAGACTGAGGACATAATGTGTGACATGGCAATCCTTACTAGAATAAGGCTAAAGTGTACTTACTGTACACCATTAGACACTGCTTAATGTTGAGTCCTATATATAGCATTTGTTGTCATTTAAAGTAATTTCACTGCCTACAGGTCTTTCCCCATAAATGGTAATGCTGTCAATAGACAGTAAAGAGGACAGAGAATCTACATGCAAATGAGAGCAACAATTAATGAAGCTTACTCAGTATACTGAGGTAATGAAGTTCCTCAAAGTTACTGTAACTACATTAGTACATATAAATAACTGTACATTCAAGGGGGGGCTAGAGAAGAGAAATCAGAAATAGAGGGTAGTATGGGAGTCATTTACAGTCAAAACTGTTGGTAAGCCAGAACAAACTAAATCTGTAATATGCTCCAGTTATATCTCACAATACAATTTTGTATAAAGTTCATTTTAAGGTTTAAATTAAAAAAAAAATCCATAGAACTGTCACTATCTAATCATTATCATATCCAGACAGACTAAAACAGTAAAGTTGGGTAGCAGACATGCAGTATTAAATTGAAGTACAGGAGGTTTAGGTTGGACATTAGGAAAAACTTCCTAAATATCAGGGTGGGTAAGCACAGGAATAAATTGCCTACGGAGGTTGTGAAATCTCCGTCACTGGAGATATTTAAGAGCAGGTTAGATAAACACCTATCAGGGATGATCTAGATGGTGCTTGGTCCTTCCAGGAGGGCAGGGGAACAGACTTGAGGACCTCTTGAGGTCCCCTCCAATTCTAGTGTTCTATGACTCTAATATTCTATTTTGACTGCTTTCTGGCATGATCCTGGAAAGCAGAACTTTAAAACCTCAGAAAATGACAGTCCTTGACAACATTTTACAGAAACAGAGGGACAAAGAGTGACAAAAATTAGAGTCATTTGACTTTTTTTTTTAATATAAACAGATGAGTCTTTGTTCTCTACAGTAAATTAATCTGCAGTTTTTAAAAAGAAAAAAGTCACAACCAAGTGATAGGGCTACATACAAAGGCAAGTACATAATATTATATGTCTTGTTTTATTTAACAAAAGCCATTAAATTCAAATTAAGGAATGTCTGACTTAACTCTGAATTTCCTGGCTTTGGTCAATTTAAGCTGGGACCTTTACATTTGATGCAGTTTTGTACTTAATACAAACATATGAATTTTTGTTTCACAAAATTTATATTTACCCACTGTTTAAAAAACAGTTTGTGCAAGAGATTTAACAGTTTTGGTATGTGTGCTGACTAAATATATAGCTCTGTTTTGGAAAATGTGTTTTAATAGGCACCCTAAGGTGGTATTGAGATCCTATGGTTTTATGGAAATCTCAGATTTTGGATTACTGACAAAAATTCTATTGAGTAGGGATGTGAAGGACTAAGTCAACTATCCAATAAGGAAATGCTTATCAGATAGTTGCTTCCCCCTCCCCCCCTATTTAATAGAGGCAGTAAGGGTGAGGTGGTGGGGAAGAAGAGGGGTACTTCAAAGCAGCAGCGCCACTTAAAGCCTGGTGCCAGACCCCAGGCTCCACGCAGTACTACTGCTTTGAAGAGCTGTGTGCAGCCCAGGGCCAGCTTTCATAGTGCTGCTCTGAGGCTAAGCAGAACATTTTCTTGTGTTGTCATTATGGAACATTTTAAATTCACCTTGAAAATCTGTCACGGTTGCTTGATTTTAGTTTTTCAATTTCTTTGAAACTGAATTGCTTCTTGGCCTTTTGGCTAAGATCATGTATGTGTCTAATCCTACATTATCCTAAAACTCCCAATACTGAAGGGAAAAAACAATAAGGCATATAAAAGGACACCAAAAATCTAATAAAATGGATTTTTATTATAATGGATTTTGATTGAGGTAAAAATGGACTTATGTTCTTATTTCACAACTCTTTTGGACATGTACGTTTACATACACTTTCTACCAAAAGAAAAAAAAAAATCAATGGGCATAGAGAATGAAGTACCCACTCAATCTGTGCTGCTTTCTCCAGTTCATGATTGAAACACTTTGGTAGGGTGGAAGAGTTTGCCTTGCTATCATTTCTATCATACCTGCTTTGTGGAAGACATCAGTGTTTAATTAAGAAACCGTGTAACTGCTGAAAATATCAGTGATTACACGATTACATACTGGGGGCACACAACTCCCACCTGCCCCTCACACTGCTGCCTCTGATACAGAGGCAGCAGCACCGGGCTGGGAGGAGTAGGGGAGAGAGGGCGACTGCACATAACTGTGAATGTTAGCCGATGAGCCCAGGCTCATCAGTTAACTGTGTACATGGATGCATTTTCACATCACTAGTGTCTAAGACCGTAGTGTCCAACCGGTTCTGAAGTGAACTAGTCACATTCAACTGGACAAATAGCTACATGTGGCTAGTGTGTTAGACACTGCAGATCTAAGACAATCAGGTCACTTAACTCCAAGACTTTATAAAAATGGACTACTGGCTCAGTAAAATTAGAGGTTTCCTATACTGAGGTGAAGCAATCAGCACTAGTCCACTAATTCAGCATGAAATGAACAAAAAAACAAGCAAAACTATATAGAACACGTTCATCTACGTGAAGACTTATGCAAAGTGATGCAATATGCACATACCTCTTCACAAACAGTAGAAAAACGGTTGAGGAACTGCACTGTGTGAACTACAAACTGATTTAGAAATGCCACTGTTCTTTTCTGCTGAATAGCTGGAACCTGTATAATTCAAAAGGTGGAAAATTAATTCACACAGAAAACCCAAGTCACTAATTCTTATATTTGTCTTCAACGACTCATTTTTGAAGTTAATACGAATGAGGCCACCAAAATATTTGCAATCATTTTTCAAAGGCATCATGGACATACTTTTTCATTATGAATCAACTAAAGTTTATCTTGGGGGAAAAGAAGCAGGATATATAGGACATGGAAAAACATCTGTATAAACAAAGGAGTTTTAGAAATACAAAGACATAACATTTTAACCTTAGAGTGAAACTTCCTGAATATCAACATTAAAACAAATCTAATGGAGGATGAGATGATCTTATTCTGGGACTTGAGGCAAAATGGGTTTTGCAGAGGGAAAAAAAGTGACTATGCATACTAGAGAAAATAAAACTCTTGGGCAGAAATAAAGGGGAACAAGATCTATATTGGATACAAACCTAGATACATAGATTTTCCCTGTCCCTCCCACTCGTCTTCATTAAATGGGAGATGCCACGGTTGATCTTCTAGAGTTTGATTTAGTGAGTCTAGTTAAGACTCACTAAATTGAACCCAGAGGGCACCCCTATTGGTATCCAGTATTCCTACTTCTGCGGGGAGTAAGGGAAGCCGATGGGAATATTTGCTCCTGTTGGCTTCCTGCTGTGAGGATGATGGGGAAATGCTAAACAGGATTTGTCAACTCCAGCTACGTAATTAAGGTAGCTGGAGTTGCATATCCTGATTTGATGCTCCTTTTTAGTGTAGACCTGGCCACAACTGGGTATAAGGTACCAGGACAAGTTTCAGCAAGTTATCATCCACCTCAAATTGTTCTCTCTCCATTCATCTCCCTGCTCCTGCCTCCACCCCCAATTAAGAGACTGGTGCTCTGGAAGTTTTGGTCTTCAAAATGCTTTGCCTGGATTCCATTTGAAATACCATTACTCACTGCAGAAATAATTTAATAATGAAAAGATGAAGTTAAGACATTCACGAGGACTTCTAAACTAAATCACTATAATGTCACCTGGGTAACACATCACTGTATTCTTCAATTTATGCTACATAGGTGTGCTATCCTATGGAACCTCTATGGAGTAGCAAGGGTTGGCCTCCCACAATCACTATTGTGGCGGGAGCCACAGGGAAGCAGAGCACCCTGCTGCCACACCACACCAGGTCCCCCTGGTAATCTCTGAGGCCACAACCCTCAGGTGAGGGATTTTGAAGGAAAGGGTGCAATGAGGGAAGAGAGAGGGCAAGAAGGGGGTGGGGGACGGGCATAGACACACACACCCTGGGCCTCAGGGATTCCCGGGTCAGATTGTGACCTGCTCTAGCTGTGAATTTGAGATCCATGCTTTAAAGTGATATTTATTCCAACCACTATCTTGCTTTTCTGTCTCTGCAACTTCAACTCCAATGAAAGACTAAGGAAAGTGTAGATCCCTCTTACTTCATGGGGAAGGAGAGCTAATAACTGATAGGATCAAAAAGGCTGAGATGTTTTAAAAGCCTATTTTGCTTCAGTCTTCAATAAAAGATCAAAGGTGACCAGATCAACAGAATATTAACAAGGGAGAAAGAATGCAAGCCAAAATAGAATTACTAGATTAAAGAATATTTAAATAAGTTAAAGGTATTCAAGTCAGCAAGGCTTGATGAAACTCATGTTAGAATACTTAAGAAACTGGCCAAAGCTATTATCGTCCATAACTCATGGAGAATGGGTGAGGTCCCAAAGGACAAAAGAAGGGCAAACATAGTATCTATCTTTCAAGAGGGGAACAAAGAGTATGCAGGGAATTATATCTGCCACCCGAACTTGGACACCTTGAAAGATTACCAAATAATTTGTTAACCTATCAATTTGTAAGCACCAATAGAAGACTATGCACAGCCAGTATGGATTTGTCAAGAACAAATCATGATAAAGCGAGCTAACTTCCCTCTTTGAGAAGTGGATGGGCAAAGCAGGAGAGTCGATGCATCTTGATTGTAGAATAAGGCTTTTGACGTGGCCCCCCCCCTTGATGTTTTTATAAGCAAACTTGGGAAATATAGTTTAGATTAAATTACTATAAGATGGGGTGCATAATTGAAAGTCCGTATTCAAAGAGTAGTATACCCTCAAATTGAGAGGTTGTAGTGGAGACCCATAAGAGCAGGGTGGATTGATTTAAATCAAAATGATTTAAATCACCAAGAAAAAAAATCATTGATGATTTAAAGCAGATTTCCCCACTGACGCTTCTTTACATATTTCTTAAACCAATGGTGCAAATCTGATCAATAAAACATGTTAATTTACAACACAGGATGCCATTTTACAACTTCTAGGAAGGAATACTTTGTGATTTAAAAAAAAAGTATGAATAGTAAGAACTGAACTAAACCACACACAAAACACAATAGCATTTATATTTTATTAAACAATCTTAAATATTACATAAATGTTTTCCATTTGCAATTGCAGCAATATCTTGCTGGTTGTCAAACTTTTTAAAAAAAAATACAGTTAATAAAATTTGAAATTTATCAGACAACTGTAACTTCTACAACCAGCTCATCTTTCCCACTACCACTGTCATTTTGATTCAGCGACAAACAGAAACATGAATTTTTCTGGCTTTTCAACTGGTAATAGATTTCTTAGCTTTGAGTGAACAATACCAAGCAATGAAAATATTTTTTCACAGCAGTAGCTTAGCAACTGAAGGAATGGTGTTTCAAGGCACCTGACTAATAATTTCAACCAATTCTGGGGAGTGACTTTGTTCAAAACACCACCTATAAACATGTACTGATTAAATGGTTTAGTTCCAGCACTAAAATTTATGACTGGCATAACTGAGCAATAATTTTGAGATGCCCATGCCATCACAGAATCATTTTTTCAGAAATTAGGCATCTACCTTGATATCTGGGGTCAAGAATGTTCGTAAGAAAATGAGGCAGGGTTAGTGGTTGATCCATTGACTTTATTGCCTGCAGTTGACCTTCCTGGTGAAGTATTTCTTTCTTCAATGTCTTCTGAAATACCTTCCAAATGTTAATAACATCAACAATACAGTAGCAATTTCTCTGAAAATTAAGGTTTACAGATATAGGCTTGAGTGTACTGAGCATATCCTCTACATACCTCTTTAATCCAATATTAGATACTTAAGATGAGATACTATTTTGTCATGGTTTTCTTCACAATTTTATGAGAATAGGACAGGTCTTAATAAATTGTTCAAAACAATCAACCATAGAATTCCATCAAACATCTTGAGGGAGAATTAGTTGGGATCCTCTTGCTCAATTCAGTGAAGCTAAACAAAATGGTTGTTACAGAAGTATTTTGTGACGTCAACAAAATGATTTTATTCCAGCAGAAGATGTACTTAAGTCTTTGGTTAAAAAGTGCATTATATGGGTACTGCCACCACATGTTATTAAGAAGCATCTTTCCATTTTGTCTTTTAAGTATCTTCGCATTTTTACCACATTTGCAGCAACAGAACTGAACACGTAACAGTGTTTTTGTGAATTTTTTGTTCACAGTTTATTACAGCTTTCGCTGCCGCTTTGAAATATTCTATTGTGTGGGCATTTCCCAACGTATCTGATGCTTCTGAAAGATATGCAACCCCATCTTCTGTTGTCACACAGGCACATATTACTGGATCATTGGGTACATTGCTTCACCCCTCAAGGCTTAAACTGGAAAATCTCCAATCAGTATTTCTTACACACTGTTCAAATTCCTCCTCATACACTGTATCTAGCAACTTTTCATCAATATCTGCTTTACTCAGTGGAGGGTACCCGGTCATAAAAACTCACCATGTCAATGAAGTGTTCATTGTCAACAAAGCAAAAAGAATTTGTGGCATAAATGAAATGAGCAATCTGTTCATCTATGGTGCCTTTTTGGTATTGGCTTGTCCTTACTAGGGATGTTAAATATCGGTTAATTGAATGATCGATTAACCTCATGAATTCTTATCAGTTACTCGATTATTCTATCCCTGGGGGTGAAGCCAGCAGTTAGTGCATTCCAGCCCCACTCCTGAAGAGCCCCCTGCCACTCCGTGCTGCTTCCTCTGATACAGAGGCAGCAGTGCAAGGTGCCAGACGGAAGCTGATCCACAAGGGGAGCCAGTTTAAAAGCCAGCTCACCTTGTGGACCAGCTGGCAGTGCAGGGTGGCAGCAGCCTGTCTGGAAGGGGGCTGAGCTCCCAGACCCAGCATGAATTGGAACTGAGCTGGATGTTAACAAATGGTTATATTTAATTGCTGAAATTTTTAGTGGTTACACATTTACCCATGGAGGAGCAGGTGGACACTGGCTTCTGCCTCGTTCCCACCTCCTGCCTCTGCCTATGATACAGAGGCAGCAAACTGGGGGGGGGGGGGGGGGGGGGAGTTTTGCATTTAATTTTTTCCATACAAAGAGGGAAACAACTGGGTAAGTAGGAGATAGTACTGCTGAAAGTGGTGTGCAGGTTAGGGATGTTAGATAGCTTGTAATTGAATCGTTGTGTAACCACATCAAATTTTAGAAGTTACACTACTATTCCATAGTCCCTGGAGGCAGGGCCAGCAGCCAGTGCGCTCCCGGCCCCACTCGCGGGGAGCCCCCTGCCACACTTGCTCTGTATCAAAGGCAGCAGCATGGGGTGGCAAATGGGAGTCAGACTACAAGGGGAGCCTGTTTAAGAACCGGCTTTGCCTGCCTCCACACTCTGCTGCCTCTGATACAGAGGCAGCAACGCAGGGTGGCAGCAACCCTGCCCGTGGGGAGCTCAGACCCTACCATAGACAGGGGCTGCTCTGAAGGATGCCAGAGAAGCCACTCTCTGCAGGGAGCTCGGACCCTCTGCAGATACGGGCTGAGGCTGCAAAGCAGCCTCCCTTGATACACGCTGCCCCATGCTGCTGACTCTGAAAGACACAGCAGCATGAGAGAGGGAAGGAGGAGGGCAGTAGGCAGCACTGCAGAGCCAGTCCTGGCAGGGGAGCTGGCTTTTAAGATGGCTTCCGACCCTAGCACCAGCTCCTGCCTGCCCCTCCCCACTGCCTCTGGAAGAAGCAGCAAGGGGTGGGGGTAGGAGGGAGCGAGTCCACAGAGCCAGCATGGAGAGCTGACTTAAAGTCATATCAGCTCTTGTCTGCTCCCCTCACCCTTGACACTGATGCCTCTTTTAGAGGCAGCAGCATTGGGGTAAGAGGCGGGGACCTGGCTTAAGCGGGAGGTAGGCAGGAAGAGAAGAGGAGGGAATGAGTGTAGTCTACAGGATTAACGGATAAGCCCAGATTTATTGGTTAATTTGTAGTCATCTACATGATGATATCACTTGTGTAGGTTATAGTTGATTCATTCACAGTTTGTGATCCACAAGGTGATGTAATTATGAAAAAGGTAGTAACATTAACAAGAGTGTTGTACAGAAGACACAGAGGCTGTGTCTACACTGGTATGTTCTTGCGCGAAAATGGCCACTGTTGCACAAAAACATGCCGCCTGTCTACACTGGCTGCGCATTCTTGCAGAAGTAAACTGACGTTGTACTGTAGAAAATCAGGGCTTCTTGCACAAGAACTCTGACGCTCCCTCTCCGGAGCTCTTCCAGAAGAGGCCAGCGCAAGAGCTCTTCCAGAAGAGGCCAGTGTAGACAGGCAACATGAATTGCTGACAAAACAAAAAGACAAGACAAAAAGAAACATGGGCTTAATCTTGAGCAAGGGAGTTAGGTTAGACATTAGAAAAGCTTTTGAACTACTGGAAGCCCGCTCCATTCCCAAGGGATACATTCTTGAGATCACTGTGAATGGGGAAATCCATAAATACTGGACTGGGACGTGTTCCACTAATTATAGGAGGAGGAATAAGAGGCATAAAGATAACTGATTTTAGTGTTCTGTTTCACACCAAGCAAGAAATAAAACATTAGAAACACACTCTGAACTTTTAAATGGGGTTGTGTAGTATCAACTTTATAGCCCTTCTGACTAAACACAGATTTTTTTGGAATGGCCATTGATTTCTCACCCATATGCTCTCTAAACATGGGTTTGAGCCCTAAAATAGGGAGCCTTAAAACAGTGCAACATTGTATCCTGGCAGGACAATGGATGTTCCAAAACCAGAGTCCTGGTAAAGGGCTGGTGGCAGCAGGGCTACCCGCCAGGACCAGGAAGCCAGCAGTAGGTGTGTGTGTCTGGGGAGGAGCGATGGAGACAGCTAAGACCACTGGCCAGGCCAGGGCTGGGGGGAGGGTCAGTGGCAGGGGGATGTGAAATGACCTCCCCATGTCTAGCAAAACCCCTCATCCTGAACCAGTCAGGTCCTGAGGGTGCCAGACCAAGGAGGTCCAACCTGTAGTGACATAAGATGCCTGACCTGTATGTGACTCAGAAGCTAGGCTTCAATTGCCCTTAAAAAGACACTTAGCCTATGTCTACACTGCCCTCTCTTGTGCAAAATATGCAAATGAGGAAAGGCGGTGAATATCACCACACCTCATTTGCATACTTAATGAGCCACCATTTTTGTGCAAAAATCCCCTCTTGAGCACGAGACAGTCTGCTGCTTTTTTTGGGAAGAACGGCTCTTGCACACAAGGGGGTTTTTGTGCAAAAAGGAGCCGTATAGACATCTCCTTTTTGTGCAAAAGCCCCATGTGCAAAATGGCAGCTCATTAAGTATGCAAATGAGGCACAGCAATATTCACCACTTCAGCTCGTTTGCATATTCTCTTGCGCAAGAGAAGGCAGTGTAGGCATTGCCTGAACGTTTGTAATGGACTTTCATTTATTTATAACAAAATTAAAGTTTAGAAAGTTTGTTTAGGCACATCACTAATGGTCACTACCTTTCACAAAAACAGTGTTGGTTTTTTTTTTGTTTGTTTTTAAAATATCACCAAGGCAGTCCCTAGTAGGGTGTGGGGGCCCGGAAAAAATCAGCCTATTTCTAATCTGCTGGGGGGAGGGGAGGGAAGAGGGATGCTCCTTCTGACTCTGCCCAGGTCTTGCCCTGACTCCATTCCTTCCCCAGTGCCCCACCCCCACCCTGCCTCTTCCTAACCAGTTTTGCCCCCTCTCCCTTGCACCTCCTGACAACCTGAAACAGCTGATTCCTGGCAGGCAGTAGGTGCTGCAAGGGGCCTGGCAGTAGGGGGCAGGAAGAAGAGGCATTGACAGGGACTAGCCAAACACCCAACACTTTTTTTCTTCCTCTGAGTGCCTTAGGTTAAGAGCACCCACAGAGTTGGTGCCTATGTCTGCTATTGCCAGAGATTAAGCCTGAGCACTGCACAACATTCACACACAAAGGGCAGGAGTAGTTGTCTCAACTTGCCATACCCAAGGGACAGACCTAACTATCACACAGAAGTACACTGGAAACCAAATGCAAAGGAGCAGAGAGAACAGAAATGGTCTGATTTTGCCAGCTTGGGAGGAACTGCTTCAGCTCACAGATTTTAGCTGGGAATGAGCTCAGAGCAATGACACAAGACACTTTGAAGTTGTGCTCCCCAAACACTCTGACAGCCATTATAGCAGTAGTTCTCAAACTTTTTGGCCCACTGCCCACCCCTCTCAATGCAAACCTTTCTGTGGACCACTAGCCAACTACCCATGATACAAAATGGGTGCAGAAGGGGGTGGGAAGTATGAGGTCTGGGCAGGAGAGAGGGGCAGGAGTGGCCTGGGCTAGGGGCAGGGGTCTGGGCTAGAATGTAAGAGTGTAGTCAATTAACTGATAAGCAAAAGCTTCTAGGTTAACGCTATAGACTACACGCATTTCCCTCCCCTCCCAACCAGTAAATCTTTTAGCAGGTTGACCAGCAGCCCAGCTCAGTTCTGGCTCACACCGGGTCTGTGACTGACCACTGCTGTGGCTCTCCATTTAAAGTGTAGTAGGAGCCAGGAAGACAGGCAGCCCAACTCAGTTCTGGTT